GGGCGATGTCAATCTGCACCTGGAGGAGGACAAATATCGCACGGTCATGCGCTACATACTGGGCCTCATTCAGAAGGATCGCCACATCGAGACGCTGGTGGAGAAGCTGTGTCTGCGTTTCCCCGTTACACGCGTCGAGCGCCAGTGGCGCGACATTGCCTACTGCCTGAGTCTGCTCACCTACAATGAGAGATCCATTAAGAAGCTGATTGACAACGTGCAGCACTTCAAGGACAAGGTGCAGGTGGACGAGGTCTATCAGTCCTTCAAGCTCATCATTACCAATACCTCGAAGCTGGCCAAGCCGGAGCTGAAGGCGGTCATCACGGAGTTCGAGACGCGGCTCAACGAGTGCCTGCAGGTCAACGAACAGGGCACGGATGCTCCTCAGTCCGACAAGGGTCACAACGAAACGAAGGCCAAGGGCAACAAATCGAAGAAGCCATCAACCAAACCGCAGCGCGGACGTGGCTTAGGAAAGGGTGCAGCGGGCAGCAGCAGACGTGGACGAAACGCGCAACAAGAGAGCAGCTCCGAGGATGATAACTCCGAGGAGGACAGCTCCGAGGAGAGCTCCGATAGCAATGAGGCGCCCGCAGCGCGTCGCCCGCAGTCACAGAAAAAACCACAGCAAAAGGGCAAGAAGCTAGCGCCTTCGTCCGGCTCCAGTGAAGGATCCGAGGAGGAAGGAGCGAGACCCACGAACAAAAAGCAGTCAGCCAGGCGAGGACGCAAATGATATCGTCGGAAATGCCGACACCAATTTTGTATTTATAATCTTAACTTATACTTTACAATAAAGTCTACATTTTTACTATTTTAAATTCAGGCATTTACATCAATTTTAGCTTCTTCCCCTGTCAAAACCATGTTGAATGTTGACAGTCGATGACAGATTAAGAGAAATGAAGAATAGGAGTTCACACATACTCACATACATATACTTACACCCACACACTTCCATTAATGCTCTAATCTGCTTTGTGGGCAATTCAGAAATGCTCATTGAGTCCCGTTGCCTTTGGTTTTTATTCTATTCTGAAGCGCGTTTAATTGTAATCCCCTTATATTGTCACTTTCGTGGAAGCAGCTCAGCAGCCGTTCAGGTTTTCATACAGAGTGTTCCACTTCCATTGTACACATGAGCATCAGTGTTGCCAGCTGTTAAGTTGGATTGGGGATAACAGTAGGCTAAACCGGGCTGAAATGTAGGATAAAACCGCTAAAATAGCGGATTAGATGAAAAGTTTAAGAAAATACACCAGCACCAAATATATTTAATAAATTATTTGCAGTGACCTGTTTTTGCTAATAAGAAATAAAAAAATAAAAAAAAAAAACAATAATTTGACACACAATAATTAGTATTTCCTCTAAGTATTTCTTCTATCTTACCTCCAAATATTTCTTCTCAGTCTTTCCTCCAAGTGTTTGCTCATAAAATTTCGTCTAAAAATTTCTTCAAAGTCCTCCCAGTATTTCCTCTAAGAATCTCTTCTAATTCTTTTTTCCAAGTCTTTCATGCTTAGCTGATCGATCACACACTTTACTTCACTTAACTCCGCTGAACTACTGACCTCTAACAGCCCCGGGCGACTGAAGAAACTCTGCTGCTGCTGCCCTTTATGTAGGGCCACTTACGCTCTCAGCACAAGTTGCGCTCAAATGTTGAGCCCGACGTCAGGTAGAGATCGTTGCAATCGAGCTTTAATTGACTAATGGGAACGCTCTCTGCTGCTATGAGCATTCGAGCTTCGTTTTACTCAACTATAAATACGAAATGCATAATGCTGCATACATATAGAGAACTTGAATGATCTATTGTAGCACTTCTTCGTCAGAGAGACAAAGAGACAGGCGGAGGGACAGTCTGTGAGATGGACAGGGAGTCAGACAGAGACAGAAATACATACAGGCATACAAACAAATATGTATAAAATATATATAAATATATATCGGCATGTACAGACATATAAACAAATATATATAGGCAATCAAACACGCATAGTTAAACCAGATTACCTCATTAGGCTGCTCAAGGCTAAATGTTGATATGCTAAATAGCTTATGTACATTCGTATATACATACAGACATATTTGACATTATTGCATGGTATACATAGCAGTTTCTCCTGCTTACGACCAGGACTACTCTTAAGGATCAGGACCTGTCTTAAGGACTAGTACCTCAGCATAGTCTACCTCCAATTTCTGGCTACTCCAACCCATACTTATTTTCAATAGACCACTTCCAAAATAGGCTAGATCTAGCCTGAAATAGGCTAAACTGTCAACACTGATGCGCATAGTTTGGCTTGAATAGCAGGTACTCGGAGCAGTTTTGTTTTGTGTTTTGGCATAAGCGAGGGCAATGAATGGAATTTTAATGCGTTTTTTCAATAATTTTGTTGAACGGAAATTCGAACATCATAAATGAGAGTCAATGAATAAACGCAGTTCTTATTGGTCTTATTGGCAAAACGAATATTTGCTAATAAATAGGAATTATTATAATTATTGTTAGTATTAATTGTTATTATATTGCTAATATTATTTATTATATTGTTAATATTATATTATTATTATATTGTTAATATTAATTTTTATGTATGGGAGGTATTATTATTATTATTATTATTATTATAATTATTATTATTATTATTATTATTATTATTATTATTGAGTATTCCATATTATGAGCGTTTTCATATTTCATTACTGATATTTTAATATTGCTTTTCTTTTATTATAAAATAATACTTGTTTTTCTTTACTTTTTTATTATATATTTTGATGGAGCTTTCCATTAATTTCAAGTAAATTGTTACATTCTGATGAACTAAAAAAAACCCTGGTGTGATTCTGTGACCCCAGGTTTTTTTCATATTTCCATGGGGTCAGTATTAAAAAAAAATTATAAGATAATTATCTTAATTACCCAAAGCTCCCAGTAATTTGAATGATATGCATAGCATTTTTATAAATAAGATCATTTCGATAACGAGAAGAGTAACAGTGAAAGGATGATATTAGTGGATGTCAGTCTGATCATGAGTACAAATCAGATTTCATGGGCAGTTAATGAGCATCGCTGTGGCACATTGAATCTAAAATCTTACAATTCAGAGCTCAGCACACAAAGAAAGCACAATTTATGGCCGTTAATTAAATTATGTGCAATATGGACCGCAAGATAAAAGAAGTCAAAATATTATGTAACTAGATACGCAGACTCAATCAGAGACGCCGTCAGCCAGCCAGACACGTGTGTGCAGGCCCATGGCGACGGAGGAGTTAATGGGGGTGGCTGGGCGTTGGCAACGGAGTCTGTGCACTACGTACATATGTATTTGTGTGTGTGTATTAGTGCGGCGAACGGCAAATCAACGAGAGCTGGAAAAAGTCAGTCAGCCAGTCAGGCGGCAGCCACCCTCAATGCTGAGTGATTCCAGCCTTGGCAACATTTGCACATTTAGCCAGTTGCCAAGCGCCGCCCTCCGTTGCCAGGTGTTGCTGTTGATGAAGATGATGATGATGAAGGGTCACCAACGGCAGCAGTATGCGGCAGCAACGTCTGCTCTGCTGGTGCCATTAACATGCTCATTACATGTGTCGCGACTTTTTTGCTGAGGCGCGTGTGGGACGTGCACGCGAGACGCACGCGCGCCCAGCAGACAGACGCCCATTATCCGGGGCTATTAGCATTAGCGGGCTTACCTGTCGCCGCGGATTAGTGTTGTGTGGCTCGGACGTGTTGCGGTCAGACCTGTGCTTACACTCTGTATCGATAAGAGATGGATTTTTGTATGATAATGCAGCAGACTGAAGGCTGAGAGCAAAGTATTTAGTGAGTCTTAATATACCTTTGTACATTTGTGTGAATAAAATGAAGATATAGGCTGAAAGAGGAAGAGGAAGAGAGAGAGAGAGAAATAGAGAGAGAGAGAGAGAGAGAGAGAGAGCAAGACATTTTAAGATAGACTTAGTGGGAAAATGTCAAATGTTTTATCAAACTGTTCGATCGAACATATTTGAATACATATAAATTTAGGTATTTTTGATCAGTCACGTCGATCTAAATGCAGCGTATTTTGAGAACTGTAATACCTCGCTCCATCAACAAAAAAATCGATAGATAAATTAAATTTTTACACAGAATTTTATATTTAATTTTGAATAGACATAAATCAAACTCCAAAAACCTAGGGATAATTTAACTAGCTGAGTCAAATATATTCTATATTTGTTCACTAAGTTGACCATTTTCAACTCTTACCCTTCAGTTGTGTCAACACGATTTAAAAATCATTCAATTTTAATATATTTACGTATTTATATTTTTCATATATATATTTAAAAATAATAATTATAAATACAATGAAAATAATTTAATAGAATTTATATATATTTATATTTATATATTTATATATATATAATTTTTGCACATTTCGATTTGATTTGCATTTGCGTTTTTTTTGGGCAGAGAACGGTCAAGATTCCATTCCATGCCGTATCGCATTGAGTCTTCGTTCCATTCCCAGCCCGTTCCGCTCTAAAACTAAAGCCTAGCTATTTACACAGATCAATGAAGTTTAAGTTATTCATAATTTTTTGTCTAATCAAGAATTAGCAACTGATTTTGCTGCCCATCCTCTCTCTCTATAGCCTTTTCTACTACATAACTGTAAATATCTGTATCTGTATTTGTATCTGTTTTTTAACTGTTTTGCTGATATTGAAAAAATGCTGTGCTGCTATTTGTTGATGAAATAAAATTTGTTGCTGCTGCTAACTTTTGATAGTATGCGATTCTCTATTATCTTATTGCTGCTTTAGAAGTAAAAGCTTTCCGGATGCTGCTGCTGCTGATGCTGCAGTTGCAGGCTGCGCGGCTGGCGTTGACGCAGCATAGCTGGCCATTCGCAGTTGTTGTTGCTGTTGTTATTGCTAGTGCTAGTGCTAGTGCTGCTGCTGCTGCTGCTGTGGCAGTTGTTGCTGTTGTTGTTGTTGCTGTTATTGTTGATGTTGTTGCCGCTGCTGCTACTGGCTGCAGCAGCAGCCTCCAACTAGAATCATAAGTGCTGATACTCGCCCATATCATACATGGGCATGGCGCCCATGACGCTGTGCAGATGCGAGTAGGCAACGGCGGCAGAGAGGGGCGGCATTTGGGAGGCGGCGACAGCGACAGCGGCGGCAGCAGCGCTGCTTTTGCTGGCGGCCGCTGCATTGGCAACATGCTGCTGATGCTGATGATGTTGCAGGCTTTGCTCGGCGGCAACATGCTGCTGCAGCTGCTGCTGCTGTTGCTGTTGATGCTGATGCAAACTGTTGCTGTTGCCGTTGCCGTTGCTGTTGTTGTTGTTGTTGTTACTGCTGCTGGGCGATTGCTGCTGTTGCTGTTGCTGCTGTTGTGAGTGATGCGCGAGGTGCGGTGCATTAGCATGTTGTTGCTGCTGTTGTTGTTGTTGTGCGCCTTGACTGGAAAGCATGTTGCCCTCCATTTCCGAATCGCTGGATGAGTCCAAGTGCTGTTTGTCCGTAGAGCCGCTATAAATAGAAGAATACCGTAAATAATAAGTAAATGACATAATTTACATATATTATATAACTATATGCATGTATGTTTATTTAGTAATAAGCCACCCTGGCAACCCTGTCGAACTTCGCTTGCAAAACAGATGTTTTGAGCTGTCAACAAACGTTTAATTTAAAATGTGTCAATTGCTCCAACTAATTCACTGCACTAACGACAACAACAGCAGCACACGCATAACATATACAACAACACAGCAGTTAAGTATGTATTTATAAACAAATGACAAATGACAGCGCGGGCAATTGAAAATAAAACCGGAAGGAAATTGTCTGCTTGAATATTTTTACTCTCATCGCAAGCATTTCTATAAATGGTTTCAGTTTCATATTCCAGCATAGGCCGTGGCCGTGAGCTAGAGCAGTACAACACGTACAAAAGGTGTCACTCACATACACACACACACACACACATACGCTCGCGCCCACAAGCACATAAACAAACAGTGAGAGGGACTAACTCTGGCTGCTCAGTGCATTTCCCCACAGAGCGCCGTCGCATCTGATTTCAGTTATTTGAGCTGCGCCTGCTGTCTTCGCTTGTGCATGTGTGTGTGTGAGTGTGTGCGCCGCTTGAGTGTTGTATAGCGTGCTCGCTCGCACTTTTGATCGAAAGTTAAGCAGCTTGACTTTTATTATTTGTGGCTGATTCTGTAAATGACTTTCAAGTGTCGTTTTTAACGCCACCGTGCGCCAGGGTGGAAGCGAGACACTCATTGCGCTGGCCCAATTCCAGACACCGTTGGGAATTGAAACACGCACACACACACACACACACACAGCGGCATGCACGCATACTTCTCTGACTTTTGCTGTTGTTGTTCTTGTTGTTGTTGCTCAATTTGTTAGTGCTAAACTGTCCTGACATTTTAATGGCTAATTCACTGGCAGCGCGATAACAAGGCGCAATTTGAAATTCGAGCAACTGACATTATCGGCGCAGTGCGATGCGAAGCGATGCGATGTATGTGTGTGTGTGTGTATGTGTGTGTTAATCTTAATCTTGTCGCGAGAAGCCAATTGCAAATGTAGCCAGAACCAGTTTTAGCAAAGCAAAACAACAAAAATTGATGACAACAAACATCGACAAACGACGGCGACGGCGACGGCAACAAGGGTCCCAGGGCCATGCTAAACATTTAAGCGCACACTCGACAAATTTGTGGCCAGAGATCATTGGGAACAATCTGCCAGATCAGCTACAGCTACAGCTGCAGCAACAGCAACAGCAACAGCAACAGCTTCAGCTACAGTATAGCCTGCCTACAACCTTTTTGCCTCCGCCGCCCACTTCGGCTGCCAAGTTATTTGCTGACTCGTGCGCAATTCGAGCCGCGCCGATCCCAGTTGCAGACCTGGAAGCTGTCGACCCGCCGGTGGCCACATACGGCGCAGGCGCAGACTTGCCGGCATCTCGAATGGGCAGACCCAGGCCCAGGCGCAAGCCCAGCTGTTGGGCATCGTGTAATTGTAGATTCATCTCGCATTCATCTTACATTGATGCTGCTAGTCTGCATCACTTGCTGTGCTTGATAATTGCCAATTCTGTTCATTTTGCAGCCTCTGCAGATCTGCGATGTTGTTGTTGTTGCTGTTGACTGGGAAAAACACTTGCAGCCAGCGTTGGGGGTGGCCTTTGTATAATATGAGATATGTTTAGATATACATACATGTATATGTATGTGTAAATATGTGTTATATGATAATTCCAATTAGCTTTGTATGATCATTTTGGAGTCGTATAAAAATGTACAGCATTTGTTTTGATTTGGCATTTTATAGACCTGGAATTGTTTAGATCTTCAGATATTTCTTAATCAGCTTTTCATATGTTTTTATTCTTGTTAAACATGCGTGTATTTAGTATGTTTTGTGTTGAAAGTTTCAAAAGGGGTATTTTAGGCACTAAGAGACTAAACTTGTATAAAGTTTTCGCAGGACTTGCTTTAAGAAATCCATAATTTTATCATATTTGATTTTTATCATACTATCAGCTGCTCCCAAAAGAACATTTATAAAGCGATCAAACTAATTGAAATATAAAATAATACTTATAAATTTTTGACGTCCCCTATTCAATTCTAGAAACATTTGGAATTTCCTAAGTTTCAAACCGACTTTAATGAATCTTAAATTTTTGTCAAATAATTTAAGGAGCAGCAATTTAGTTTCGTCTATTGCTAAACTGAAAAAAATCGATGATGGGTGCTAGGGGAGAAAGGAAACCATCCACCCAAGCAAAGCAAACAGAGATCTAGATGCAAACAGGCTGAGCAAACATAAAGCCAAACTCATACGGAGAAATGGCTGAAATGCTAAATTTTTTTGTGGAGATAGAAATGCCCAGCCCTGGCCATGGCAGTGGCCCTAGCCCAGCCAGCCAGCCAGTCAGCCAGCCAGCCAGTCCGGCAGTCAGGCAGTCGTTCAGTCAGCCATTCAGCCATTCAGTCAGCCGAGCAAAAGTGGGGAGCAAACAACAAAAGGGCAGCAGCATATAAACAATGATATCAAATTTCCAGAATTTCATAGTTGTTGGCTTTGCTCGCTTACTGCAACACTTATTAACAGGGCCAGAAGAAGAGAGACAAAGAGAGTGAAAGAGAAAGAGAGAGGGAGAAACAGAGAGAGAGAGAGAGAGAGAGAGAGAGAAGGAGAGTGGAGGGCAGAGTTGGTGGTTGAGACAGCGCCTACTTTAATGGCATATTCCTATATACTCTGATGAGTATTTTCAACTGATTGCATTATAAAATAAATATACACACATTGAAGTTTTTTTTTCCCCCTGATATATACTCGTTCCACAAGTGAAATGGGTATATTGGGTGCTAAAGAAACTTTAAAGTTGTTATGGATGTTACTATATATATTTGTGAGTTTTTATATGGCTACTGGGATAATCTACATATTTCACAATTTTAAAGTTTTTTAGGTAACTACAATGTTGGTATATATTTCAATTTAACTTTGATTGTGGGTTCTTCTGATACGCCTATTGGAATAAACTTCACTTTCCATAGTACTAGTCATCAATTTTCTTGTTCAGCAAGTGAAAAGGGTATATAGGTGTATCAGAAGCCTTGAAATCTGGTACATCTTTTATATTTCATATCTGTATAGCCTTATAAATCCTCTATCAAATTTATGATATCCACAAATTTCTACAATTTTAACTTTCTTTACTGCCCAAACGAGTATTACACAGTCGGCTATGCCAGAATTTCAAAGTTCTCACAAGGTATTATAAGTAAGCAGCCTTCGCGGTAGCTGCGCCCCCAAGGACAATCCCTCAATACATGAATGTCACATAGAGTTTATATAAAATATATGACAACAGCAACAACAACAACAACAACAACAAAAATACAGAAACTGTAGCAACAACAACAAGAACAACATGCAAAAGAGGTTAAAACCTCATCAGAGCCTGGTCAAGACTTTGGCTCTGCGTGTGTGGTCCCAGCTAAGAGTTCTTGGACTCTTTTTGGTTTTTCTTCTTTTTTTGGGGGGGGGGGGGCACTGCTCAGTGATGAGGAATTAATTTTTACTTGTTTGCTCAATTGATTTTTTGTAGCTTTAAGTTTGTGTTCTCGTTGTTGTTGTTGTTGTTGCTTATTGGAGCTGCATTAAGCAGATTCATTAGCTTGGCAATAATCGGCCTGATCGGATTATGCGGGACTTGGACCTGAGCAGAAACGTTTGTTCGAGAGAACAGCGAAAAAATTGCGAATGCGAATGCGAAATGAACATAGCCAAAGAATGGATAGATGAGTGTCATAGATAAGGGCGTTACCTGAAAGAATTAGCTGAGAGTTTTGCAATGATTAATAATATAATTTATTAAATTTACTAATTTGCTGTAATAGACGAGGGCCTAAGTACTCTGAAAAACTAACAATTTAGGAAGCAGAACTTTTTATTTTAAGGAAATGGGTATGGGTCTTGGAGCTAGGACTTACAAGTAAACTAAGAATTAGATTTGTATTTGATCTGGCTGAACAAGGAAAATAACTAAATTTAAAGCGATTCTTAGTGCAGTTTCTAGACCCAAAGGTTAAATGTGGGATAACACTACAAACTAAGATTTCACGCTCCCTCGGCTCTCTTCAAGTTTTGATTATAATAATTCAACGATAATTTGGAGAACTGGTACAAATCAAGGCTGCCGTAGATGGAAATATGAGAAATCAAGCCTAATGTAGATGAGAACACTAGAGAGAGAGAGAGAGAGAGATCATGACTAAGAAATTGTAAGCTGTCGTTACAAGAGCTCTTAGAGTAAATGAAAGCTGGAATAGATCAGATCAGGCCTTTTCTATAGTTAAGGCGCAACTCAATGTCTCTCTCTAAGGCAGATTCCGAATAATTTTTTAAAATCTAAGAAAGAAAATATAATCAATAAAAAATTGAACTAGAAAATATAGTTTGAGTATTTTATATTATAATATATAATTTTTTTTTTTTACATAAGAAAAAGTAAACTCAAATTGTCTAGAGCTATAAAAATCCCTTATAAATACTCACAAAAAAGTACAAAAATACCAAATTTCTATCTCGCTTTCAAATCGGCATCCTTTCAAATTCAATACATGGGCTTGGCTGCACTGAATAGCTAGTGTAGTTAGTATATTTTGAATTGACATAGAAACCATTATTCCGAAAGCAACAATAGACACACATCGAGTGACTCGGCAGCCTTATCAAACTCGGATCTCTTGTGGCTTGGCAATTAAAAAGCAACAAAATTATTAAAAACTGTCAAAATAAAGCGCAGCCTGCATAAAATGCGCCACACGCCAACTCGAGTGAGTGGGGCCGGGACGAGTCGGGCCCAAAACCAAAAGGCAATAAGATAAAATATTTTATAACGATGCGAACGATGACTTTTTGGTTAATCGTTAAGATCTACAAGTATGGGTGGGGGAGAAGGAGGGGAGCACTGAACACGAAACCGAAAC